TTGCTGTGCATTTAGCTGCTTGCTGTGCGTTTAGCTTCTTGCTGTGTATTTAGCTGCTTGCTATGTATTTAGCTGCTTGCTGTGCATTTAGCTGCTTGCTGTGTATTTAGCTGCTTGCTGTGCATTTAGCTGCTCGCTGTGTATTTACCGTCTTGCTGTGCATTTACCGTCTTGCTGTGCGTTTAGCTGCTTGCTGTGCATTTTCTAGTCCAAGGTGGCTGCATGTTGGAGTAGCCGTTACATTCATTCTGGGATGTTTCTTTTGAAAACTTTATTTCCTCTTTTTCTGGATGTAAATGGCTTTTTTTGGATGATTATTTCCTCTGATATTGGATGCTGCACAGCTGGAAGGATTTTTACTGAAACCTTTTTGCTTTTGGACATTTGTTATGAACCGTAACCATGACAACAAGGTGTTTGTTTTTTACAACCAAGAGCAGCTGATTACCATCTCAAAGCTCAAATATTATCTCAAATACAGGCCCAAATCCCAAATGAGTTGTAAAGGAGGCACCATGGATGCATCTCCGTCTACCTGGCAGAGGTGCTCGAGTGACTGACTGCAGAGATCCTGGAGCTGGCAGGAAACGTGGCTCATGACAAGACGACCAGGATCATCCCCCGACACCTGCATTTGGCTGTCTGCAATGATGAGGAGCTAAACAAGCTGCTAAGAGGAGTGGCCATCGCTCAGGGGGGAGTTCTGCTCAACATTCAGGTGGTCCTGCTGCCCAGGAGGACCGAGAGGCCTTATTTAGTCCAGGTGGACCAATAGGCATCTGCAGCCAATTTCTTCAGATCAGCTGCGAGAGATCCTTCCTGCCCACAGCCATCAGCATATAGAACAACTCTTAATGAAACCAGGATGATGAGCTACAGCAACATTTAATTTCCCTTTGGGATTAATAAAGTATTTTTATAATTATAATTTAGCTGCTTGCTGTGTGTTTACCTGTTTGCAGCACGTTTAGCTGCTCTCTGTGCGTTTGCACCCGTCGGCCACTGTGCAAGACGCCGCCTGGCAACCCGTGACCTTCATGTTCTTGAAACGGTGTCAGGCGTATTGTGGTTTGTCTAGTCCAGGTGTTTTCGGTCCGTTGTTGTAAACCTGTAAACCCTGATGACGACCTTTGACTGTTCTGTGAATACGTTCCCTTGTAGGGGCTGAAGGAAGTGGGAACTGGTTCAGTAGGGCTGGTCAGTTTAGACTGATGATTTTATTTTGAAATGCACAGGAAAAATGTTTACAATTAAACAGTTTATATAACAAAATAAAATGACTTTCATATGAAAGTAGTAAAATATGACTTTTAATACAAAAGTTGTTCATGTGTTGAACCAACGTGTCAGTGTACCATAATTTAGTGAGTTCACTTTGGTGCTTAATGTTAAATGTTTGGTCTAACATTAAATACTTAAAAGCTTAATTAAAACATGGGTCACCTGCTCTATACTGTAAATCGTTAGACTTTTTAATAGTGGGGTAAAAATGATTCACCAAAATTCTGACACATCTCCAAACAAACTCTGGAACTGTCATTTGTGTGTTTCAGGAGAAGAACTCTAAATATTACAACTACACTCTGTCAGTGAACGGGAAGGCTCACAGACATGGAGGCGACTACAACATGGACTACCTGACTGATGTGCTGGTGAGACACCTGATCAGTAAAGTAACTGCACTTTTTAAACTGGTCCCAGCTCATGAGCACTCACTGGTTTTACAGTGTTTTTCTTTAAGCTTCAAGGGAAATAAAAAAGACAAAATTCTGGTTTGAACATTCAGATTGTTTGTCTCTCAGGCCAACATGTCGCTGGAGTTCCTCCAGTATAAATCCAGCTACCAGCCATTCTTTATGATGGTGTCCACACCGGCCCCCCACTCCCCCTGGACAGCAGCTCCTCAGTACAAGGACCGCTTCAACACCACCAAGGCTCCCAGGGACCCCAACTTCAACATCCACGGGAAGGTGGGACTAATCGATCGATCGATAAATACAGATGACACAGCTTTAGGATGAGGATCATCAAAGTTGATCATTTATGCTGCAAACTCAGAAGTCATGTTCTGTTTGAAATGGTTTCTGTTGCTCAGGAAGTTGAATATCATGTGACTTTTTAAACCAATTACTCGCTTGTTCATGAATGAGTGATTGCTCAACTTTTTCTTAAAATTTAATGTGAACTTGCCGTTTATTCTTTAGATTCTCATCGTGGACGTTTCTCGCCTTTCCTCCCAATAACTTATTTTTTTTTAACATTTATCCAATGGCAAAATTAAGTTGAGGTCAAAATATATGTGAAATAATTACAATAATAATATATTATTATTAATAATAGTGAAATAACATTACGTGCTGTTCTGTTCAGCGACTATCTCTGAAGACTTTTAACTTCAGAATATAAATTCATAATCAAAATAAGTTTTATCCTTGAATAGATGCAACAAATGTGACAAATTAACAGGGAACCAGAGAAAACCTGGGAAATGAATTCCCAGGTGGGGAAAACTCAGAAATTGAGAAAAAACATTTAAAAGAAATCTGAGAAAACTGTGAATTTGAACACTGATCTGATGATTGAAGGATGTTTTTATTTTATTTTAACGTATTCGTGTTTTAAGCTATTATTCTAGTATCATGGAGTCCATGTTATATTATGATGTACCGTATTTTTAAGGTTCACTGTCGATTTGTGAGAAAATTATAATCAGAAAAATACGGTTTGTCATATCTCCAGGAATTTTAGGGACAATTCAGGTAAAACTCTTGAAATGTTGTTTTCATGAAACGCTGGGGACCCTCTAAACCAGTTAAAAACCAGTTAAAAATAGCTGGTTTGTGAAGACAAACTAAAACATCAAAACTCTTCAAGGCTGTTTTTATACAAACAAATGTTATGGCGTTGTGATCTTGACTTTTATTTTGAAATGAGATGTTTTTGAGCCTAAAGGAAGCTAATCTTGATGACCTCACTTTTTCAGGACAAGCACTGGTTGATCCGACAGGCCAAAACTCCCATGACCAACTCCTCTGTTCAGTTTCTTGATGATGCCTTCAGGAAACGGTCAGTGGCTTCATCTTTCACCCTCAGCTCCTCTTCTCACCTGCTTTTTTTAATCCCCTTCGGATGGTTCAGTAGTGATTCTGTTGTTGAACAAATCTGTTTTCCCATCATGTTTCCTAAAATCCTGTAGGTGGCAAACTTTACTTTCAGTGGATGACTTGGTGGAGAACATCGTGAAGAAGCTGGAGGTCAGAGGTGAACTGGACAACACCTACATTTTCTTTACCTCTGATAATGGCTACCACACAGGTGAGTGAGTGCACGCCACACATCGTCTGTTGTCATTCTCAGGTCAAATCCATAAACACACAATGTTTGCTCGGTGTCAGGTCAGTTTTCTCTCCCGCTGGACAAACGGCAGCTCTATGAGTTTGACATCAGAGTTCCTCTCATGGTCCGAGGTCCGAACATCAAACCCAACCAGACCAGTCAGGTAACTGGACACAAGCGTATTTTATACGGGGAGGTTGTATACACTAGTGTTAAAACAGGCCTGTTTTTATTTCTGGAAAAAATTTTGTTAATTGAAACATAACAAAATGGCTATTACTTTTAGTGTTTTGAGTTACCATGGCAACACAATTTGCAACAAACGGTGCCAAAACACCCCCATTCAGAAACAACTGATCCTGACGCTGTGAGAATGTAAGTGCCATGTGTTGTCATCGTTGTGTTTCTATACGATGATGACATTAGTTCTCTGCATTTAACCCATCACACCTGAGATACACCCAGGTGGAGAGTGGGCAGCCATGTAAGCGCCCGGGGAGAAACTAGGGATTATAGGTGCCTTGCTCCAGGACACCACGACATGAGGGCGTGGCCGGGAGTCAAATGCAATGTAGTCAGGCCTGTCACAATAACAAATTTTGCTGGACGATTAATTGTCTCAGAAATTAGACAATAATTATTTATTATTGTCAAATTTAAAAAGAAATGTTTTTGTGTGTAGTACCTTTTTTTGACCACGGGATGGCAGTACAAGACTGTCTGAACTGAAGGGAGTGAGCAGCGTGTCTCTTTTTAAGAAAAATGGGAGGGAGGCCCCTTGACGTGACATGAGCTGTTTCTCTCTGGTTCTCAAAATGGCAGATGCTCGGTGTGGTTTGAGCTCTTTAGCTTTTTTCACACAAAGCTTTTAATAAAAAAATCAGTAAACAAGTTCTCAGCTTCTTTTTGCAGAGAAAAACTTTTTAGACGAAGGCACGGGTTTCAACTGTGAATTTTTGGAGCTTCGTCAAGACTGAGGTCCCCCCCACCCCCCACCCCAACATCTTGAACACACCCCCCATTTTAAATGCATCGTTTTTAACAGATCTCTCTGTCACAAACTGAGTCCACTGATTTGTTGTGACTGTGCTGACTGGTTTTGATTTGCCTACAAGAGTCTGAAACTCTGCGTGAGTGTTTCAGGGCAGCCTTTTAGATTTCACAGTAACATCCTTGACTTGCTGTCACACAGCTTCCTGTTGGTAGTGATTATTATTGATTATTGAGAAGAACAGTATTTATTTTTACTCAGATTTCCTTCACTTTGCTGTTCTCTTAGCTCAGCTGTGCGTCTCGTGCACCATTAACTCGGCAGATTGTTTTGACAGATGCTGGTGGCGAACGTCGACCTCGGCCCGACCATCCTGGACATCGCCGGCTACAATGTCAACAAGACCCAAATGGACGGCATGTCCCTCCTGCCCATCATGGTGAGGACACTCAGCTCGTGCTCAGAGATGTTGGGTAGAAAATACATTTATTAGTAAGAATTTAATTCTAGTCATTGCATGGTAAAAAAAAAAATTAAACCAATGAGACTGTCCTATTTATATTTTACATCTGGTACGAGAAAATTGATTCTACAGTTTAGGAGAAAAACACAATTTTAATTATTTTTTTAAAGTTGCTCACAGGTTGAAGGCGTAAATAGTGACTTGTGTTATCTTTAAACTACTCTAAAATAAAAACTCACTTATTTAAAAAAAAGCCAATTTATACCAAAATTCATTTTTACCTGAATAGAGTAGTCCCTCACTATTGCGGGGGTATGTTCCAGACACCCTTGCTATTGGTGAAAATCTGCAAAGTAGGGACGCTTTATTTATTTAATGTAAATTATGCAAAAAATGCAACTTATAGGCTGGAAAATACAGTATTTATGATCTGGAAATGACAGTAAAATATTTCTTTCCTCGTAATACCCGGGTTTACAAAGATAATGTGTTGACAAAATTGGAATTAAATCAGGACTCGGACTCAAACAAACATTTTGAAACTAAACTGTGTTTTACCAGGAGGGGCAGATGAACCGCAGCAGCTGGAGAACAGACATCCTGGTCGAGTACGAAGGAGAGGGGAGGAACGTTTCGGACCCGGCCTGCCCACTGCTCGGACCAGGCGTGTCGGTAAGAACATCACATTCTTTGAGTAGAGTAACGGGCCGTGCAGCTGAAGGACTCCTCTTGTTTAGGAGTGTTTCCCAGACTGTGTGTGTGAGGATTCGTACAACAACACGTACGCGTGCGTGCGCAGTGTCGCCCCCTCAGCCAACATGCAGTACTGTGAATTTGACGACAACGAGGTACAAACTAGTTCTGCTGAAGTCCCGACACTTTGATGGTAGAACTCACGACTGTGCCTCGTCCTCTCAAGGTGTTTGTAGAAGTTTACAACGTGACAGCCGACCCCTACCAGCTGACCAACGTTGCAAAGACCATCGATCAGGAAGTCCTGGAGAAGATGAACCATCGGCTCATGATGCTGCAGTCGTGCTCTGGACAGTCGTGTCGGACCCCCGGTGTTTACGACCCAAAGTACGTTCAAACTTTTATTCCCCTGCATAAATGAAGAATTTAAAGTTGAGCTCGTTTTCCACCAACACACTGCCACAGTGTCATTTTAGAATATTTGTTCATTTCAACTGAAACAAATTTACCAGATGAGTGCTCGTTTCAGTCAGAAGAATCAGAATAAGCTTTATGATCATTGCACCGAGATACAGCGAGAATATGTTCGTACAGCCGTCTGAAAAATGGGCGGAGTGCACGTAGCTGCTGCTGTAAAGCGCGGCCTCTTATCCTTTTCAGAATAAAACTTTTAGATAGAAAAAGGGATAAAGCCACGAGGAGAGGACAGTGGTGTTACAAAAAAGATCTCGTCACACCTTGTCCTAACAGGACACGATTTAAGACATAAAAAACTGCCAGCTGAAGCTCATTTATAAACATGTTACGTGTATTTGAAGATGAGGTGGTCCATGAAGCACCGACAGATACATTGTTCTGATAAGATGATAAGTCTACACGGGGGTTGTGATAGACAAAGCTTTTCCTTAGTTTACACATTTCCCAGGAGAAATTGAGAAGTCGGCCTGTTTCGAGGCCAATCGGGGAGTCAGATTCAGATAATCCACAGTTGTTGATGTATTCAGGCAGACTATTTTTCTTGTCAGTCTTGAGTCTTACTGGTATTCTATGGTCCGAAATGTCCAGATTAGGGTGCATTCTACTGGTCCGTGCTTACGAGCCTCTTCAAGGTTGTTTCATGTTGACGAGTCCCAAAGCTGCAGGTGGCCTGTGATTCAAATCACTTCCATCTTACGGTTTAGCTCGTAAATCAGCTGATGTTGAGTCCTCAAAGCACGAACCAAACCTTCACATAGGCAGCAGCCTGACGAGGACGAGGGCCAAATTAGCTGCAGCCGTCTTCTTTGTACGTTGATAAACCAGGATCCAGACTATTCCAAAAACGGGAAACCTGTCATCATAACTCCAATTATATGCATTTTGGCGCCCTCCATCGACAGCAGTAGACACATCACATTCCACTTCCCAGAGATATATCCAGCTGCACGTGTCGTCCGAGCAGATGAGGGTTCTCCAGGACTCTGTCGTGTAGATGAACAGATGCTGGGATATATTCATCATTTAACGCGGGTTCCTCATTTTTCTGGACTGAATAAAACGTGCATTGAATTTAAGGAAATGCAAAGTGAGACGTCATTTATATTTGACCCATCAAAATGAATGCGGTCATTTATTTACAGAATCAAATTTAACATCAAACATTTACATTAATTTGGCAAATTATGAAAATAACAATATAAGCAATCAATCAGGAAAAATCATACGGCCATGATTTTTCCGTTGCTGACATTTATAAAACTGTACAACTATGATCTTTTACCCACACGGATGTGAATAAGCACTTTACACAGACATTTCTAAATATCTGGGAGAATTTCTACTTGATAGAAAGTTAAAGATGAAAGAAGTTAAAGGGAGTAAGATTGAATGGGAGGGGAGGAATGTTCACCAGAACCGACACTCTCCATCAGAAGCCCAGCTCGCCTCGGTACGCTTGGTAGGAAACTTGACCCATTACCTTTCTGATGATAATCAGCAGATATGGTGTTCCGTTAACGCTACCGGTGCAGCGTCTCCTTAGAATGGCTGTAGCTCGTCAGAAGTAGTGGCGAGGCTCTGTTCGACACACATTCACCTCAGTGGAAAATGTTATAATCCCATGGAACTCGGAAGAGCTTTGTTGTCATGTCAGGAACTCCAACAGCACTCCATCAGAACTTTAGCTCTCGTGTAGTTTACCGAACTCCCACAGAACTCTTGAAGTCTGACAACTCTCCAACTCTCCAACTCTGTAACCCCGTGAGTCTGTGTAGACCAGGAAGTACTGACATTTTAAAGACTCTTTCCCGGTTCACTTTTTGGGATTTTTCATTGGTCAGAATCGACCAGAAGGGGTGTGTTTTTGTGACGTAAGGGGTTAGAGACAGCGAGAATTGTTATGAGACAGCTCAGAAATGTTCTCACAGACCGAGAGGGTTTTGTTGTGGCGTGTTTAAGAAACAGGTGCAAAACATCTCTATTTACGTCTGAGAGGATTCTAAAACATGACAGTTTTAACATAACAACTTGTTTTTCGTTTGACTGTAACCTTGTAAACGCACACACTTGCTCATTCAAAAGCAGAAATCAGAAAACTGCATAATTACTCTGCAACAGCTTTTAACATGAGTTCTAACTTTTGCATGAGAATAAAAACCATTACTCAGTTAATAAAATTGATCAGTTCACTGCAACATCTAAAATGGTTTGAACTAAGACACTTTGATTATCAACATTTGTAAGATAGTAATGATAATAAAAAGAGAGTGTTCTTTTCACTTGAATCTTCAAGAAAGAAAGTCTCAGGATGGGTGAACCTGTATTTATGGATTCAAATACATGAAATGACAGCTTCTGTCCCACAAGGTTCTAAAGGTCAAGAGTTTTGACCTTAGACTTAGTTTCGACGTAGGCCTAGCCCACTACAGTCGCTTTGTTGAAATTTGCGTCGAAAGTCCAGTTGGTCAGATCCATTAACAGTAGTTTTCATTTTGGAAGATGTGTAAAAATAGGAGCTGCTCCGATACACAGAGAGAGCAAAAAAAGGAGCTGGAAGAAACGTATGCGCCTGGTTACAGAGCCAGTGAAGGAAAAAAAAAAAAGGTAATGGCTTAGTTGTACGTATTTTCCGGTGTATAAGTCACAGTTTTTTTGCATAGATTCGTCAGTCCTGACACTTGTGTACATTGTTTTTCTTCCCATATCCATCATGCAATTTTTGACCGACGCTTTAAATTTTGATGAACTGCAACAGCGAGTCCTCCCGTGCGCTCGCATCACTCAACTGGTGCAGGAACGCTGCTAGAGAGCTAGCGGCACTGGCCGCGATGGATTGATGGATGGATGGATGGTGCTGCATCACCCAGGCGAAAAGTAGCTGTTTTGACCATTAAATAAACTCATAATAATTGCGACTCTTTTCCCTCTTCACTATGATTTTTTTGACTGATGCGATTTGTACGCCAGTAAATACGGCAGTTGCAAAGGCATTCTTTACAACACCAGTGTAAAAAATATAAACAAGTATTGTTCAATATTATTATAAAATCAGCATACGACTGTTTATTGACGAGTCACTTTACTGTGGCTGACAGGTCGTCACTGAAAGCCCAACAGATTAAGAGTCTGGGATTATTTTACTCATCAGCCTGTCCTGTGTCTGCTGTGTTTTCCCTCCCAGGTACAAGTTTAACCCCCAGCAGCTGTTTTCTGGCCACAGCTGGAGGCTCAGCAGACTGCGACAGACCAAGTAAAAACACCAGAGGAGGAAGGCCTTTCCTGCTGCTCCTCTGTTTTTGGGCCTCCTGATCCGAGCCGGTCACTTTTCCAGAAGGATGGAGGTGGGTCACCATGGAGACTGAAGGTCCCTCTGGGCAGGTTCTCTTTTCATGAGACGGATGGATTTACAGAAGCAGCCATGACTCCAGCTCCATTCTCAACATATCTGTTTCTGACGACGTTTACAAAGTTTTACACTTTAAATTACTTTCAGTCTGCGACAGACGAGGGACAGTCTGGTCAACTTTGAAGGGATTCTCTGTCAACCAGTTGTCAAAGAGCTCAGAGGATTGAGAAGAGCCCGGTTTGTTTGCTAACATTAAGCCTCACGTTATTTTCTCCTTGAACTTCCATGGACACGGAGCAGAAACAGGCTGTGCAGGAGCTGCTGGATGTCTGTCCCCCCCCCCCCGGAGCTGAGGGAACCTTTGACGGACACGTTCAGCAGCCTCGGCACCGTCTGTGCTCCACAAACAGTTCAGCTGAGAAAACGGCAACAAACTAAGCGAAAGTGCCAAGGTTTGATATTAGCTAATATAAGGTTCTTTCACACTGGTATTTTTTTAAATAAGCCTGCTAAAAAAACTGTGTGTATGTGGCTAGCCATTAGCCTTTAGCCTCTTTCTCCATACTCCATGTGAAGTCTTTGTTTCTTTACATACATTTGAAAGAAAGTCAATAACTTAATGTACTTTCAACATTTAATGGTAACACAGAAGCAGTCTGAGCATGTTAAGAAACAAGAAACAGTAATTCACTGCCCAGTTGTACCCAAACTGGATTCCACTTAAAGCAGAAATAGTTTCTGGGAACTCTTGTTCTGGTAGTAACACACTGTAGCACCACAAGGTGGGTCCAATAGTTTCTTTTAAAGATGACACATTTAGAAATACTTTATTTAAACTGCTCACCACTCGCTGCAGGTTTGATCCCGTTCCCTGCTCCAAACTCTTGAATTATCTTCTGTGTGTTGAAGCAGGACTCAGACCAGTTTCAGTGGTTTTTACTGCTGAAAGAAACCAGACTGAATTATGTGGAGTAGTTTTTATTAATCATCTGGTCCAAACGGCACCAGAACAGCCTTTTGTTGTGGAGGTGATGGAAGCATGAAGCAGTCTGGTGTCGGCTCATCTGTCTCCAAACAGGAAGAGCTTTCTACAACAGACCAGATGTTCACGTCACACTTCATATGGATTCACATTGACAACTGGTTTCCAGCTGCAAATCTTCCATGTTTCTAAAACTTGTTTAAATTCACTGCTGCACTTTTAAATCCGTCACAACTCGTTTTATTTTCAGATTATGAAAATATGTATTTTTGATGTTTTTGTTCAAATAAAAGATTTTCTTGAGATTAGTTTCTTGTGTTTTGTTTTACTAAGATGACCGAGAAAAAAAAAGGTCAGTTTTTAATGTTCATTAATGTTTTAACTGTATTGCTATTTACAGATTTCTTAACTACAGAGGATAAAACTCACTGTGTCAGTTTAATATTCAGTCAACTTGTAGTTTGCTTTAGAAACCCCCGAAGCTTCTCCTCTGGAAAACTAATTTAATGTTTTTACAAAAACATCTGCAGCTAGAACTGAAACTACCATCAACAGAACGTTGAACCCGTCGGCAAAATTTAATTAAAAACCTTTTTAAGTTTTGTTTTAGCTACATTGGCAGCAGCATAGATTTAACATTTTAAGTCTAACTTTAATTTAAAATATTTAGAGAACCTCTGCAGTAATTTAAAACAATGGATTCTGTTTGTTAGGCATGTTCTGCTCGCAGCTGAATATTCTTTACACTTCGGCTGCTGTGACTCAGACAGATGATTTTAGCTTCATTGTTGAATTTAAACGCCGTCCTGTCAAACTTCATCAGAACAATAGTCCGTTAAGTCTCTCCAGGTGTAGTTTGTCAAATAAAACGTTAATAATGTGAAGTGAAGCTGTTTCTGCTCACAAAGCTCCATCATCTGTCCCAGACCTCCAGAACAGGCAGGAACGGTAAGTCGGTGCTGCCCAGGTAGGTTCTCCCTCGGTGCTGGAAGACGTCGCTGACGGCCCAGGTTAGGCGGCCCTGGGGGTCATGAAGCGTTCCCACGACCTCGCCATCTAACCCCAGCTCCAGAACCAGACCATAGTACGGCAGCAGGAAGTTGAACCAGCTCAGAGGAAACGCCTGGAAACAAAAAGAGATCTTCAGACGAACACGTCGACATGAACGTTGCTCTGTGGTAATCTGAAATTAAACATTTTACAGAGAAGTCATTAAAATAATTCTCAGCTGAAACTGGTTTGTTTGGACAAGCCAACAAAAATTCAACTAAAAAGTTAACACGGGATGAAATTACATCAAATATAGAAATTGTTTAAAAAGATATTTAACAAAATTGTTTTATTTTTTACCAATTTGAGTCAACACCTAGAAAATCCTGTAATTAAATTTTGCTCTTTAAAAAAAAATATATATACTTGATGTGGGAATGAATTGGCTGAATGAGCAGTGCATCATGGGAAGAAGTTACAATTTCACTGAAGGATTTGTAATTGATTTTTAAAATTAAGCCATTTCTGCTTCTTGCTCAGCTAGCAGCCTGAAACAAACATCTTGACAAATATAACTCAAACTGCAGGTTTACTTGTGGTTCCTAAAGTTTGCAAAAGCAAAATGGGAGGCAGATCTTTCAGTTCTCAGGCTCCTCTCTTGTGGAACCAACTTCCAGTTTGTGTCCATGAGGCTGACACGTTGTCCAGTTTTAAGATTTTCCATTTTGATAAATCCTATAGTTAGGGTCGGCTTGTTATGCTGCTATAGGCTTAGACTACTGGAGGACAAACTGACCTCATTTCCTTAAATGAATTGTTAAAATTGAATTGTTTTCATTTGATAGTATTTCTATCTTAACATGCGATTCTTGACTTGCCATTGTGTATCTGTTCCTGCCAAACCCATTCGGTTGAAGCAGATGGCCGCTTGTCCTGAGCCTGGTTCTGTTAAAGGTTTCTTCCTGTTAAAAGTTTTTCATTTCCACTGTCGCCTTCATGCTTGCTCAGGATGGGAGACTGATGGCGTGAAGATTCAGCACAATCTGCTGCTTCCTTAAATAGAGAACTTTTACTAATTGTTTTATAAACGTGAATGTTTTGTTCAGTCCCCTGACACGACTTCTGCTGCGACTTGGTGCTACAGAAATAAACTGAATTGAATTTATAATTTTCACATGAGCTGATTAAAAGTAAAGTGTGTTAATTAATTTGATCTCAAGTTATTCCGTTTTATTTGGATTTTGTATTCCAGTTCTGCAGTGTGTTTATATTCTAACACTTTGATCATCTGTTATTGTTTTTTTTAAAAGTTCTCACAGATCATCTCTTTAATCTGATTAGTGATGGTTGTTTGGACACCGACCTTCACCAGGAAGCGTTTAACTGCTGGGTACGGGGCGGTCAGGTCCAGGAAGGGGGGCAGGAACTTCTGAAAGCGAGGCGTTGTTATGCCAACCAAGAACGTCCCGTGGTCGCTGAGGCGGATGTTGTCGGGGTAACCGATCATGTTGTCCAGGACGACCTCCTTGGTGCCGGCCTTCAGGCCCTTCAGCCAATACCTGAAAGAAGACCTTATTATTGATCAGACTGTGGGAGACCTAAAGTCCTGATCCTTCATCCTCCACTGAGGAGTTTCAGAAACGGGACCAGCGTCCACAGACGATGGGTGTTTGTACCTGTGTATGCGGGCGATGCTGGTCTCAGCCAGCAGCAGGAAGGTCTCATCAGGGGACAGGGCGATGCCGTTGGGCATGTAGAGAGAGTCCAGCAGCACCGTCACGTTTCCTGTCCGAGGATCGTAGGAGAGGAGACGACCGAGGCGGTTCAACTCCATCACCTGAACAGTTCAGACTCCTTCAGTTGGTTTAAGCAGATTTCAGTTCATATTTATTCCAGTTCTTGGTTTTCTCCTGACAAGAATTAGTTTTAATTAGTTTTCAGGCAGTTACAGCCTTTCAAACAAATCTGTGAGCAACACATTCAATCTAAATGTTGGAGATTTCCTCTGATTTAACAGAACACATCCTCATAGAACCATCGCTGCCTTGGCTGTAGAACATGTAGAACATCTAGCTCTGTCTTGTTACGTTTTAGCCCTTTTTCCTTCAGTTTTGTTTCAAACAATCAGTAAAATGAATTTGAGAGTGAAATGATTTACTAAAACAGATTTGAACAATATTTCCAAACACCAGCAGGATTAGCAGATTTCTGTTATGCTTTTATTCTGAAATCTCAGGCTTATATTTTGGAAACTGAACCATATTTCAAGTTAATTTCCTGTGAGAACTCCTGAAATCAAACCCTCCAGCTACTTGGAACAAGTTCTGCTCGTTTCAGGGCTGAACCGACTGTAACACTGAACTCATGTTTAAGTAAAAACAAAACATTAAGAGAATAAAAGCTCTTTTTTTAATTCACCTGAAGTCTTATTTTGAAAACCTGATATCCAGTTAGGACATCAGGCTTCTCGTCTGCTGCCTTTAAAGATTAGGTTGGCTCCAAATAAACTGTAGACGTACATCTAACGATTAATGTCTTTAATAAAAATCTCTTCAGTTGTTCAGATATTTTTCTAACAGAATGGACTCCAATCGCTAATGGACACATTTTAACCAAACATCTCATGCAATCAGTAAGAACTCAGAGTAGAAGTGACCAAAGTATCTGTGTTAAAGCACTTTTGTTTGCTAGTATTGTTCTGTTGTGGCAGCCATCTTGAATCGGCTGTAGACGTCATTACCGTATTATTCGGACTATAAGGCTCACCTGATTATAAGGCTCACTGTTGATTGTTGAGAAAATTAAAGGATTTTAAGTGCGCCTTATAGTCTGAAAAATACGGTACTTTGAAAGTTAAATTAAAACCCAGCCATGATTTAAAAGACATGTTGCTAACAAACCCACGGGGGAAACACGCTCCACCTTCATGGACAACGACTTAAAAGCTTGATCGAGTCAACAGGTTTTGCTGAACGGTTGTTTCCTGAATAAATCAGTTTATTCATCGGTTTTCCATCTATCTGAACCGCCGAGTCAGTTTTGAGCTTTTTGTGAAAAAGAGATTACAATTATTTTGAAGCTCCAGCCAGTTTCCTGTCTCACCTCCAGTTTGACGTGTCTGCGCCCCCAGCGACTGGAAGAGTCGGTGAAATAAATTATCCCAGTTTGGGCGGAAACCTCGAGGCCGTTCAGGAAGGCGAAGGGAACGCCGTCGGCACCTGAGGACAGAGAGCGGACTCTGAGGAGAGAAGTGGGCTTGGTTCAGGGAACGGAGCGCAGCCCCATACCCTCAGAGTTAGACAGCAGCAGGCGCTTCTCTCCTGTTTGGGGGGCGACGCTGTAAAGGCCGAGGTAGGAGTCTGCAACAATCAGCTGACCGCGGCGGTCCAGACGGACGCCGTGAGGACGACCGCACACGGGCTCATAGTCTGTGCTGCTGCCTGCAACACACACCAGAACTTGAACGCATCATCATGTTTTAAAACTCATCCTAAAAAAAGACTTCACGACCAAAACGTTTGTCATTCGGTGAAATGAGATAAAATGGGCAAATTAAACGTGCAATATATTTCAGCAGTCGTCCTCACAGGAAGTTTTCAGTTAATAATTGTTTCTGTTACTGAGAAACACAAACAAACTAAAGAGATGAACTGTATCAACTTTCATTTTATAATTATTAAATTATGTTCACAGTTTAAAAAGGATGATGAGTCCAAGCTGAAAGTACAAGGGACATGAATAAAGTTCAAGCGGACGAGAGGAAGAACAAAGACGAACCACATTCTGGTCGGTTCTGACCCATCTGTGTGATGAAGGTGAGGCTGTCATCAGGACCGATCCTCCACAGCTTCCCGTCCACTGTCCCCGTGTACACGTTACCTACAACACACACACGCTCAGGTTTGAGAGAGTTTAACTTCTACTGGAAGCAACAAGGGACAAAATAAAGAAAAGTCAAAACAGTCTACACCTGACAGCTCCGTTAAAATACGTTGAATACTTCACAGTTAATCCAACAAAGTTCAGTCAGGACATCTGGACGGATTCTTTTGTTGAGAAGTTTCATCCTTCATCCAAAGGACTTCATCAGTCTGAGGCTCCCCAAAAGCTCATTGGACTGATGAAGTCCTTTGGATGAATGATGAAACATCATCATCATCATCATCAACGACAACGACGACGACAACAACAGAAACCTTCCAGATGACCTGAATGAACTTTGTTGGATTTTTTTACCAGGATTATTGAGAATCAATTTTAATACTCCACAGTTAAAATACTTTAATACGCCACAGTTAAAGTACTTTAATACTCCACAGTTAAAATACTTTAATACTCCTCAGTTAAAGTACTTTAATACTCCACAGTTAAAATACTTTAATACTCCACAGTTAAAGTACTTTAATACTCCTCAGTTAAAGTACTTTAATACTCCACAGTTAAAATACTGTAATACTCCTCAGTTAAAGTACTTTAATACTCCACAATTAAAATACTTTAATACTCCACAGTTAAAGTACTTTAATACTCCTCAGTTAAAGTACTTTAATACTCATCAGTTAAAGTACTTTAATACTCCACAGTTAAAGTACTTTAATACTCCTCAGTTAAAGTACTTTAATACTCCTCAGTTAAAGTACTTCAATACTCTACAGTTAAAATACTTTAAACTTGTACAGGTTTTAAAAAGGATGTACCATCTGTTGGCTCTCAGAGTATGTGTCGGGGATGTTTCTCTGCTACCACCACACCAAATCTCAGCTCATCTGTAAAACTGAGTGTTAGACATTTTTGTGTTTGCTAAGATGGACTAGTTGTGGCAGCCATCTTGAACTGTAGATTTGCACTTGATTACAATAATTCAAGATTTCCATTAAAACCTACCCAGTGGTTAATGAGATATTTTCCTAACAGATGTTAGTCTGCAGTGAAACACTGTGGTGCAAATGATCCAAACCTCCACAGGAATACGAGCTGAAAGGCAAAGTTCCAACAGCTTCAGAAACCCTCACCTTTCTCATCTGCAGTAAAGGATTCTGGTCCATGTAGTTTTCCTATAAACAGTCTGCGGCCCCTCTGCAGCCGGGTGTTGACGGCCAGCGGCCCCTCGAGGGCCGGAGGAGGCCCCTTCAGACTGAGGACACAAACTGTTTCAAACCTGGACGGTCGTGGATTAATAAAAGAGAAAAAGCAACAAGACACAGACTCACATGTGAGGTTCAGGGTCTATGGGAGACGGCAGCAGGTAAACTCCAAGAGCCACAACCAGCAGAGCTGCAAACCACGTTCCCCACCTGAACAAGAGAACCAGAACCACAGAAACATGTTCTCCAACATGAGCCAAACGAACACGGTCCTACACTAAACTAGTTACAGGCTGAGCAAGAAAACTCAGGACCAAACAAATACCTGAAAAAAAGTGTTTTAATATTTCACATGAACATTAAGAAGTCTTTATTATCTTACCAGAGAAATGTGCAACCTTCACTTTCAGAATTACAATATATAATATATCCAACACCAATATTTTACAGGTTCAAATAATGTTTAAAATAAACTTAAATACGTAATTGCTAATTATTTTAGTTCCTCTAAAGTTCTGCAGTTTAGTTGCCTGGATAAAACTGTAGAAACAGGAGGGTTGATTGGTAAAAACTGACTGTAATCCGAGACCTTGAACGCACCACGCGGAGACAACTTTTCAGAAAAATGCGACCGTAAAACAGTTAAAAAGTAAAAAAACCCAACAACAAATATCTTCCTAGAGGATGATTTCATGGGATTTCTTGGTGGTACAGAAGAAGAATAAATTAGTGGACACAGAGTGTTTCTTCCGCCAACAGCAGGTGCTGCCTGAAGACTACAGATGAAGTTTATTCACTCAGAATAAAACAAAAACAGTCTCGAACTTTCTAATGACCATCTTCGAGTCGCTTCTTTAAAAAAACGAACGAGTTAAAATTAACTAGATATTTTCTACACAACTACGCTAACGGTCGGACAAACGAACAAGAAAACTCTCGACAGTTAAAATAAACAAAATTAAAATCGGCATTAATTAAAGAAAATAAGTTTTACACTTACATTACAGACCGTCCAGTCTCTCGCACTGAGCAGCAGCGCAGTGAAGCTAGCCGCAGCGTCAATAAGCGCTTCCGGCGTACCATTTCAAACTAAAAGCACAAGTTACACTTTCCGGCGTAGACCTTCATAGTAAAAGCATGATCATAATTGAATCCAAATTCCTGCTTTTTCTCTAAAATCGGTTGTTTGAAAGTAATGAGTTATGTTAAACGTCCAAAAAGAAGCAGTGATGTCAGGCCTATCCTAGTGTACCTACCTCAGATTTGATCCCATAACTGCAGGTGAATGACAAAAAAACACACGTATATAAACTACATTAAAATCATGATGAAAGTGGATCATTTTAAGAATTCACACAGATGCAAAGTTTAACAGTGGATAAAAATCAACATCCACCACTAAATACTATGGTGGAAAATTTAGTCTAAACAATACTGAAGATAAATGGTTTCCTACAAAACAAGCATTAGGTTCAAAACGGCTTCAGTGTTGTTGGTTTGTGTTTTTTCAGCTTTGTGTGTCCCAGTGTGGTGACTGGCTGTGAGAACCCAGAAGAGGAGGAGGAATCCCAGTCTTTGTGGTCGGAGGTCAAACCGGGGACAAGAGGAGGAGCTGCTCCTGTTCCAGCGCTCCTCTGACAGCATCAACACTGGGCTGAGAGAAACCAGCAGAAATCAGCCCGACAGGTGAGACGAGGACAAAGTCTGCTTCTGGGAACATGTTCACCCATTTGGTCAATCGGAGGATCTCGCAAAGAAAAGATCGAATGTAAAGCCACTCACTTTCACAGCATCTTATTTGGACATTTTGTGGTGATGTGTAAATCTGAAGGTTGAAAAACGGGTTCTAAAAAGCCAGAACATTATAAAATAAAATGTTTATATAATTTACTACAGATCAGACTGGTTTTGCATTACAACCTTTTAAAACTAAAATCAAGTGTTTTAATAAAATAAAAATAAAAAACACATCGTAATGAACGAGAATAAAGAAGAGACAAAATAATAAACAGCCCAACACAAAACTGACGTTTTCTGTACATTTAACTTTTTATTAGCTGAAGCTCTCCTCGAACGAGGAAAGAGCACGATCGACAACAATTTAAAGACAAATCAAGAGACGCCTGAAAGAAAGAAACTTAAAAAAAAACCTTAACGTCTCTCTCCAAATGGTAGAAAGGCACTTTCTGGATCAAACTGAAATGTTCAATAAGTTCTGCTGACGTGAACCCACAGAAACCGATGAACTAACTTTGAGTTTAGAGCGTAAATTATTTAACATCTGAACATTTCAGTTTCTTAATAAGATGCAACAAACTGCTCTTTAAGGGTCTGAAAGAAACTAAATGATTTAAAATGTGACTTTTTTTTTTAACTCACAGCACAATCGAGACAAAAACAAATACACATCTATTTTCAGCTGTCATTTTGCACCATTATATATTTAAAAAATCACATTTAAATTGAGCTTAAGACAGTGAGGAAACAAAACGATGATTATAAACAAAAAGGACAGAAAATGAATAATAAATGCAGAATTAGAAAGCAAAAATAAGAGCAAGAAGGTAAAAGTCTGATGGATCTTTGGTTTAGTATTTCAGCTCAGGTTAGGTCTGGACCAGAAAAAAATGATTAAAAAAAATAAACCTATGTCTGTAAACGTTTGTTTTTAGAAGCAAATCTGAACCTTTTAACAAAAGACAAGAAGCAGAAGAGTCCAGGAAACATAACAAATACTAAAGATAAAACTTGGTTCCTTACAACAGGACGTGTAACTAAACGTGGAGCTTCACGAGTAAGATCAGAGAGAATTAAATGTTAGAATAAAGCACAAAGTGATGCCGATTTATCAGGAGAAAAATCAAAAACCCGTCCCTGAATCCAAGGTTAAAGTGCCCAAAACACCCAGCATGAAAACAACCAGCCCGCTGTAATTAATTAATTTGAGCTAAAAGTTGTTTATAAAATGCACAAACAAGATCAACGTGTTTATTAACCGTTCCCACGTCTGCATCATTTAATTCATCATAAACAGAAACAGCAAGGGTCCTAAAATGACCCCCGTTTTATTCCAACAAGCAGCTGAAGTTTTTTTTTTTGCAATATGAGCAACAAATAATAAAAAAAAAAAATAGAATTTGATGAATTTATTAAACTAACAGCAAACATGAAATGAAAAAAAATCATCTTTTTCTGTAAACCAAGTAGCTCCTAAATGTTTTAAAGTTATATTTTTATGCCACACATAATGATTTTGATGGTTTGAATCTGGTTTTTCTTGAATAAAGGCTAAAATTCAGCTGCGCGAGGAGTAAAACCATTTTTGTTGCTTCCATTAAAATGAACCCAGTGTTTGAGAGAATAAATGAGGGTTGAATCGCCCTTTAAATAAAACTCGACACATTAAACACGCATCCTTCCCGTGGGAAGAGGCCTCTGGTACAGTTTTGCTCCAGGCAACACCACAAAAACATCTTTGGTTTTAAAAAAGAACAATCGATCTGTAAAATGACACAGGGAGTAGTTGCAGCTTCTGACCACTAGATGGCGACATTTGGCAGCAGCCCTGCAGCATCATGACCAATCACTTGACATAAAACACAATATCCGCTTCATATCAGAATGATTGTCTGAATATTTGTTTTCACAGATCCAAATCTAAATGTGAACAAAAAGTTGATTTTTAATATTTAAAACGACATTTACTTAAGATATAATATAAGGAGGATGCTGCATGCATATTTAAAGCTGCATCCTGTAAGTTTGTGCCGTTTTATTTCAGAGGCGGGTTAATTTTTGTCGTTAGCTCCTCACACGTTGCACTTCCTCTAACGGTCGTGCCGACTCTCGTCTGCAGACAGACGAGACTGAAGTCTGGGACAGAACTCTCTGCAGCTCATCAGGACCTTCTCACCGCGTTTTCAAAAAGCTACACCTCCGCTTACCTTCCTGCCTACGTCTGACGTTTCTTTTCTACTTCCTCGGAAGCGCTCCGTCGACTTCCAGAAACCATGACATCTTTTTGCTCCTTCTTGACCCTGCGGGTCAAAGACCACGTCGGCCCGACCCGTCCGGGCTTCGTTCCGCTCAAATCCAAAAACGTTCTGTTAAACTGACCCCCACCTACTTCCTGTGCTCAAACCCCTGCACCTCTGTCAGTACCAACATCTAACACCTGTTTGCACATCTGTCTTGGCTCTCTGCACTACTAACTGGGATGTACGGAAGAACAAATGTGCCATAAATAATGAATGATGCATTAACAATAAATTACCATATTTTAAAATAGAACTTCTGTATACCACATATACAGCAATAAACTCATTTTATATTACTGTATATTTATGACGTTTTCCTTAAAACAATGGACACGTTAAACTAATGCTAATTTTTAAATATCAGCATGCAAACGGTACGTAAAGGTCTTTTAGAAAGGAATTAAGAGCACGTTTCCCAGCTACATCTAATTTACCAGTGATTTATACATTTATTTTAATAATAAAAGGAATAAAATAAGAACATTTAGAATATGATAACATTTGGATTATAATTTGATAAAAATCTTTGGCACTTTTAGGGTTCCACTGTTGTTGACGTCTTAATTATTTATACAAACTGCATCAAAACAACTGTCTTCGCATGTTTCCAGCCTTAAATATAAATATATTTTCTGAGACGATCGGTGAATTCAACGTGCGGGACTTGAAATAAATCGACGTGTCTGCGTCGCTGCATCTAATCTCTGTGTCAAAATAATATCGTTTCTCTCTCACGGTAGAATAAGACAGTTTCAAAAATAAAAATATAAACGCTTCACCCATATAAATTAAGAAAAAAAATATGTACAAACATTTAAAATGAAGAAATTAAATTAAAAAACTATATAACCCAAACTATGGTGTTGAGTCTTTCACAAGTTTGAAGGATAAAATGTGAAATCAAACAAAAAACAGACGAGTTCCTCTGCAGGTTCTAAACCCAGTCCTTGGTTCTGTTTGTCCTTCAACCGTCGTCCTCGTCTCCTCGTCCCCCTCCACCAAAAACATTTCTCCTCTAACAAACAGAAAATCTAAAGGCACCTCCTCTGTCCCTGGAAGGAGCAGCAGTCCTGTGTCCTGGAGGTCTAAGGAGGCCCCCGGAGCTCCCTCAGAGCCTCCTCCAGTCTCTGTCGATACGACAGGTACCGGCGAGCGATCGCCTCCTTCTGCTCCTCCTCCTCTTTGTCGAGTATCCGCAGGAAGTTGCGCAGCTCGGGGATGGAGAAGGCGTCCCACTGACGAGAAACACAAAACATCGTTTGTTTGTCATGAAACTAAAAAAAGTGCAGTTTCTTTAGGGGAATGGTGGCGCAGAGGTTAGAAGATGGGCTTGTGATGGGAAAGTCGCAGGTTCAACTCCCGGTACAGTCAACATCAAAATGAGGGTGAAAAAGGTGGAACACCTTTGGTGTGATATGTACAGTTTTGTTTATTTAAGAAAAAAAAAAAATCCAGAAAAGGAGTGCAATGAAATTATAATTTTTATTTAATTATCATAGTTTCTGAACACGCTCTTCCTGCCACTAACTTTCCACAGACATTCTTAGGTGCTCATGTAGCTGCCGAGCACCCACTCCCCTTGTGTGTGGGATAATGTGACAGAGAATGCCACTGGTATTCATGACGGGTACCTCTGTCAATCATGGTTCCAATTTTACTACCAAATACCCATAATTCCATGCTGGCCATGTGACCATAAATGACCAATAAAGTACCGTGCATAATAAAAGTTTTAAAAAATCTTTCTGTGTACGATAAATATCAGTTACAAGCTCACAGTGGAGAGAACGGAGGGGGCAGTTCCCCTCTCGCCTCCTCTCTTGTGCTACGAAGCAGAAGTCGTCAAATTTATTTATAAAGCACATTTTAAAACAGCAGCTGTTACCAAAATGTGCTCAACAATAAAATCAACGACAATAACTACATTAACATTTACCATTACCAACTTACTGGTACGTATTCTGCTCTGGTTCACTGCTGGTCACATGATCAGCAGTGAATTGTGGGTAAAATTGACCAGTATGTCAAACTTTAATACGGTAATTTATATGTGTTTCTACTGAATACTGGCAGTCTGTTCTTAGTGTACCGTATTTTCTGCCATATATGTCGCTCCGCCCTAGAAGTCGCATCAGTCCAAAAATGTCTAATAAAGTGGAAAAATCCATAAATACGACGCATCTATTATGCGTCACCGCTGACAACCTGGAAATGTTGGCCGGTGTTGTGCCAAAAAAATCGATTGACTGCCAAATGGCGGAACAAGAATTTAACAAGATTAACACTTAAAAACAATTATTTGTTTGCTCGAAATTAGAGAAAAGTTGTGTCTCAGTCTAACTTTTACTTAATAAATGCACAAAAAAACCATCTGATATGTTCATGTTTAATTTCTACAGGAACACTGTTGTTAAAAAGTGCCTTTTATGATGTACTGAACATTTTTTATATAAAACGGTGCCTTAAAAAATGCTCTAAACGTCTTTGAGTCATAATTTAATTTTGTGCATAACAATGGGATTAATCACGATTAATCTCAAAAATCTTTTGAGATTAATTGCGATTAAATTTCGAAACTTTGCCCAGCACTAAAAATAATAAAATACTAACGTCGGCGACGTGTTGAGGACGTGAGAGCGCCGTGAGCCGACGGGAAGAAATTTAACCCCCACGACTTTTACCTTACACATTTTGTGTATTACCTTGTTTTAATTACAGAGCATTAATTAAGTATTCATAGCGCTTCAATTTTTCCACATTCTGTTATTCCAAATTACATTATAATAATCTCTTTCCTCAAAACTCTACATTATGACAACGTGAAAAACTATTTGAGATTTTAGTCAATTTCTTAAAAACGGAAAAGTAAAATCACATTTTGGTGTTCACAGCTGTTCCTACCATGACTTCTCCGTTCTGCTGCTCTCTCAGGACAAAGCCGAGCATGTTGGAGTCGGGTCCCGCCACCAGACGAAGAAACAACGGCTTCTCGCCGTCCGCCAGCTTACACACATACACTGAAACACACACACACACACACAGGAGTCACTCCACTGTGTACAAATAAACAGAGGGGTGCGGCACATTAACAACCAGTAATTTACAACAAGAGACCGTTGGGATGTTTTTACATCTGAGCCCGAGGTGGAAGGAATTTCTGGGAACCAAAAAATATTGAGTTAACTAGAAGTGTTTTATTTTTAATCCCATTTTAATGTTCAATGTGGATAAATATTCACATTTCATATAAAGATTTAAAAATCAGATAATTTCTTCCGAGAGTTCAGCCAAAAGAAAATAATTTCTCCATCTTCAGATCCCAGTACAGTCGTCCCTCGCTCTATCGCGGTTTGTGGACGTTCAGTCCGTCCAAAATATTGCTCAAATGTTTTTACACACGATTATGGACTTTATAGTAATATCACTGTACCCATGTGGATGTGAAAAAGTTAACGACAAAAAAAAAAAAAATTCAGACAGGTGCCGCCATTTTGTAGTTTTCTTTCTTTCAGCCTCCACTGTACTGTTATCACCACTCATAAGGACTACATTTCCCTCAAATCAATGCTGTGCTGTACAGTAGTGCCTCCAGCAGCCGTTTTTTGCCGAACAATATTTTTGCCAAGCGATTTCATGACCGCTGAACCGGCCTTTCAAACGTAAAATGTAATTCACGTCACATGGAAAAGTTTCTTTTAAAGAAAATCCAACTTTACAGACGTAACATTCAAATGAAAGTGTAACTCATGTGAGGACACGTCTCTTTAAAAACACAGCTTGACCCCGTGACCCGGGCTCTGATTGGATGTTCCAGTAGACACTTTTTTCCAACTGGACATTAATTGTGTTATTGTTTCTAAAAGTTCTGTGTTCATAAGTTTCTGGCGGCGAATTGAAACACCAGAAATGCTTTTTAACTGAAATGCTTCGTAACCCGGGCGCTGATTGGTTGTTACAGTAGCAGACGGTCGCTAAAAGAGTAGCAGGGGTTTGTTTACCTCCGCTCTTTTTCAACTAGACAGCTTCCAAACTTTCTGCGTGTTCAAACGTTTCTGGCGGCGAAGCGAAACGCCACTGGAAGATGCCGACGACTAAAGAGAAAGTGGAACTTCTGGACAAACTTTAAGATGGCCGAACCTACGAGGATGTTGTTGGCCGCCTGCAGTGCGGTTGTTAAAGACGGAAGCTGCATTGATCTTGTGGATTAATGATTGCAGAAAAAAAAAGATCACTTTGGATACAACACCATCTGGACAAAGGCGAAATATTATGATCGTCTTGGATCGGCATTAGACGAGGTAAATGGGGGGGGGGGGGGGGGGGAGACGAACCCAAAGCTGGACCTTTCGACCACCTGGTTCAACCACCGAACCACTGCGTTTAGTGCCAGCAAGGGATCGTTCGACAAATTTCAAAAACAATTCGGATTAAAAAGTGTTTCTCTGCACGGAGGCTGCGTCCGCTGATCCAGCAGGAGTGGAGGAGTTTGTTAAGACGAGTTCAAAGATCTGATCTGTGAGGGGTCCACAGGTCTGAACGAGGTTTTAACGTGGACGAAACGGACCTGTTCTGGAAAAGGATTCTCACACTTTTATTATGAAGGACGAAGCCAAAGCGCCTGGTTTCATCTCATCTTCATCACTGGACAGCTACGTCTTCACCTCTTCTTCATCTTTGCCGAGTACCCATTTAAAATTAATTTTATTCTAAAGGTTTAAGAGTTTAGAAAATTGTTAGGAACATTGCGAGAGTGTGGGAAGGGTTTTAAACGCCAATATATACCTGTATATAAATACTAAAATAAACTACTACTACTTGTGTACATAATTTCATTCCATCTCGTGTACTACATGAGATGGTAATGATAAAGTTTACAGAACTTGAACTTGGACTACTGTATCCCTATACTGTGCAGTTTTTCACTTAACGCAGGTGGGCAGGGTACGGAACACCCGTGATAAATGAGGGACTACTATATCGTAACATAAGGCCAAGATGGCCGCACTCAGCTGAGCCACAGCTTCACAGGCTCCTGGTGAACTCTATCTTTTTATGTTCCTGATGCATTTGTTTCAACAGGTTTTTGTTTTGCACCTACACTGAACATCCACAGTACAGGTACGACTGCGACACACTTGCGGGGTTTTCTGTGTTGCCATCATGGTTCAGTCCTTCCAGCCTCGGGCTCAGGCCTGTCATGGCGGATGTCTCCATGATCCTCCATCTGCCTGCATGGACCGAACTCTACGGTCCCATTCGGTTTTGCAGGGGAACCTTGGATGTTCTCTGCCTGCCGGACCCGGTTGTGGGGGCAGTCTGGGAGGCAGCTGCTGCAGTCATTATTACCATCAAGCTGCTGACGGGACCTGCTAACAAGACCACGTCGCTAACAGTACCATGCTGCCGCTGACTGGACCATGTTGCAAAGATAACCTCACTGTCACCAGAACCACTCTGCCAATAGGTCCATGCTGCTGTAGATTTATTTCTTTTTCACTTTTACCTCGTTTCCCCCCCCCCCCCCTCACTGGCTATGCAAAAAGTGTATTCTGAAAAGGATAAGAAGGCCGCGCTATATAGCAGCAGCTTTGTGCGTTCCGCCCATCTTTCAGACGACTGTACGAACATATTCTTGTTGTATCTCGGTGCAACGATCATAAAGCTTATTCTGATTCTGATTGTTTCTGTAATTTTGTTGCACGATTTGAATAAATCCCAGTTTATGTTAATTTTGGGGCTCCGAGCTCGACTCCGCTCGCATGAAGCGTGTAAATTTTAGCCGAACAGAACCTATGAGAATCGTGCTGCTGCTGTTCCATGTACTGTTTTGCACCATTAGTGACTCGTGTATATCTTAGTGCACCGTTGGGCGTTCGTTTAGCGTATATCTTAGTTTATATCTCAGATCCTTATTTGTCGTTTCTTTTTACACTTTATATTTTTGGTACTGTTTGATGTACTGTATCTGGGACCTTGTGTACACAATTTTATTCCACCTCATGTACCACAAGTGATGTGAATGACAATAAAGAACCTTGAATCTTTGAATAAAAACATTATTTTCCTCACGAAAAGCCAAATAAAACGTTTTGAAGCCACACGCATGTGCAGACGTCATCTTTAATTAGCAGCAGTTTCACTCCAGTAATTAATGTAAACCAAACCACGAGGAGGCTCCCTCCTCAAACGTCTAGAAATATTTAGTGATGAAACGCCTCAGACATCAAACGAGTCATTTTATTACTTTTCATACGGTGAAATCCTCGCTTGCGGCTGAAAAACTGTCTCCTAACTTCAAGCTGTTAACTAGACTGAAACACAATCTGTGGGATCCTCCAACGGCTGCTGATCTGTGTGTGTTCTGTTTTTATACTCAACATGTGTGTGTGTGTGTATTCCTGGTGTGCCGCAGTTGTGGCATCCAAGATGAGGGCGAGCCCCCCCCCCCCCCCCCCACACACACACACACGTGCACTGTCGTTAGTCTTACCCTGCTCCTCTCGGTGGTATCGTTTGTACAGCGCATACTTGGCCGGGTTGTCTGCCACGGTGAACTTGTTCAGCAAGGCGACGATCACCTGAACACACAAACACAACACAAACACTCAGATTGTTGTTGAACGCAACAAACCGTTATAAACGAGAGAAACTGCTCGTTTTTGGGGACAAAAATGCAGCGAGGATGCTGAGCTGAATGTTGCTGAAGAAGCTGAAACAGAGTCAGTAAAACTAAAAAGTAGCTAAACACTAGCTCAAGGCTAAATGTGTCAAAAGGACAACAAAAATAAAGCAAGTTTGCTGAAGCAGATTTCAATCAACAATATTTTAAAGGGTTTAAAGAAATCTAAATGTTTTATGTGGTCAACACTGAAAGAAAAAGTCAATATTTTGAATTTTAAAATGACTTTAGCTTCATGGAAGTGTTCATTTTCACTCCCAGTTTAGTGACTACATGTTCCTCTAAACGGAGCTAGAGAGGAAAGGTCGATACAGTGGTTCTTGATCGTGCCACTAAAAGGAAGCAACATGACTTTTGTCTTCAAGAAAATTGAAAGACATCCAGTCCCTGATGTCAGCCAGGCAGTCAAGATGAGGTTGGATAGAACGTGCACCAGAGTGCTTCAGAGGGAAGTAAATTTGACAGTCATTGACGTAAAGATGAAAAGATATGATGTGTTTACAAAAAACAGCACATAGTGGCATGAGGTATAAAGAAAAGAGAAGAGGACCGAGAATGGATCCCTGCGGTACCCCCCACCAAAGAGCTGCAGATGTTGAAATAAAATCCTTGATGTTGACACAAGATACTTGTGTCCACCTTATTTCTGATTCTGTTTTTAAATTAGTGATGCAGTCAGCCATTTTCTGAGGAACATGAATCAGTTTTGCCTTTTCACGTGCCAAACTGGTCTCTTTATCTAAAGGTTTCTTTTAGTTCTTCAAAACTGATTGTGTTTGAAAAAACAAAACAAAACATGGTTTATAAACCAAGATGTTGAACAAGCATGAACTAATTTACACATTTTCTTCAAAATAATCTGAGTTTAACTGATTTTAGACAATAAAACAATAATAAAGTGGAAGTTTTGCGTCTCGTCAGAGCTTCATGAACTCTTCCAGCAGGCCGTGAGCTCAAAGTGTGTCCACGTGTGTTTTTGTGGGTTCTCCACCTGTTTCACGGTGTTTTCAGAGCTGATGTGGAGCGTGTTGTTGACTCCTCGGGGCAGATAGAAGGCCTCCTGCGTCACGGTTCCTACTGCTCCTTTCGGACCCCCCCGCACAGTCACCGGCCGCCTCAGATCCATCGTGACCTTGATGAAGCCGGTGTACACGGAGGTGGGATTCTGAAAGAGACGTGTTTACAACATGTCACCACTTCAAGAACCATTCGGTGCTTTCTCCATTAATGGACTTCTATTCCTGCATTTATTTATTTCATATAAAGCACAAAGTCAGAGTTGTCCTACGTGTGTCCAGATCGTCTCACACAGACAAGCAAAAATCTCGTTACTCCATGAGAAGGGGTGTGCGCTCGGTTTGAGCTGTCATTACTAAATATTTTAATAAAATACTTTTTCTCTGCGAGAGGCTTCCTCTGTGAGAATGTGCAAACTTTCTTTGTCGTACGTGACAGGAAATTAAAAAAAAAAAAAATCAAACTTATTGGCCTTTTCTGGGAACAAAACTTATTGTGTATGCTTTGTGCATTGAGGAGGACTTTCAGCTACTACCACAACAAATTTTAGCTCAAAGTCAGTAAAACCGACTGAGTTATAGTCATATTTGTGTTGACTAAGACTGATTAGCTGAGGCAGCCATCTTGAATAGGATTGCCTCCAAGTATTAACCACTTGTAGACGTACAGCCGATGATCACTTCCTGAGAGTTTCATTGAAATCCAACCAGTGGTTCAGGAGATATTTTGCTAACAGACAAACAGGGTTGAAGCTAAATCTTTAAGCGAAACCGTCTCACAATCTGTAGCGTTCCGAGTACGTTTTGAAGACGCTGCACAGCTACTACCACAACAAAACGTATCCATTAAACTGTCAAGAGTTGGAGCCGCGCTTGTGTTTGCAAAGGCTGTGGCGGCCATCTTGAATTGGATTTACTCCAACAGATAATTAGTTTTAGTTCTAATAAATATTTTCTGAGTTTTATTAAAGTCCATCCACTGATTTGTGAGATATTTTGCTAAAACTAAAGACAAGCACATGCTAGCAAAATAATAAAAAATGCATAGAGTGTTGCCGTCAGCAGGGAGAGCGATAAACGAAAAACCTGCAGATCTGAGTACAGAAAGGCACCGTTCCTTTTCGAACTTTATAAAAACCCGCTGCTCCGTGAGATTATTTCAGTTTTTACCCGGAGTCTGAACTTCCTCTGAAACTCGGGTTTCAGCAGCGTTTTATCCCGAGTTACAGCAAACACGGCTTGACGCTCACGCTGCCAAGGAAAACACTGCGGGGGAGAACAATAGCAGGAATCACATCAGCGTGATGCGAGCGCTCAGGAATGCCGAGAGCAGGAGGACGCAGCGCTAACGTGAAAAGTTACCACACAGAAACAAGCTGTTGAACACAAAAACATTAACACACACGTTGTTATATTTTAAGAGGATCAAAACAAACACTTCTACATTTCTGATCTAGCTTGAAGTTATTACGCATAGTCAGCATCTTACCTGCAGCAGACGTCGTCGTAAAAATGAAACCACTCTTCTTGCGGTCTACTGCAGGTAAGACACTCACTGAAATGCTCCGTACAACTCAAAGTCTAGTGGTTGGACACGACTAAGACAGGGGAAAAATACTGCTCCTCTTTTTGCAGGATTAAAAACAGGCCTCTTGGTTAAAAACAGACAGATTTGTCACCAGCGTTGCTACTTTGTGGCTTCTTGTTGCTAAAAATAAAAACAACGAACACTTTACAACTAAATAAAACGTAAAGTAGGTTGGACTTTGCAGATGTTGTGACGCATCCTTTAGGATTTTCAGTTTATTACAGACCTGCTGTCTCATAGTGAGGCGGTCGTTTTAGTGCGGGACACCACGAGCGTCGTCTTGTTGGACTCACCAGCGTCATTTTCAGGTAATCTCTGGTCAGAGAGTTGTACTGCTCGATCCTCTGCTTGATCTCCTCCCTGCTGAGCTCTGAACGTGACTCTCGCTCCTTCTCCACATCCTTCCATGAAGACAAGAGGGGGAAAAAGAAAACGAGTTCATATCGGACGTAGACGAGAGCGCAAGAGGAAGGAAAACATTAAAAACATCTTAAAAACACATCAAAGCTTCACAAGACATCACTAGAACACTGGAAAAAGTAAGGAATCACCACTTTTGAAGGGTGTTCTTTTAATAGTTTTATTTTTTTTATGGATTAGTTTTTCTTCTTTCGGCTGCTCCCTTCTTCAGAGGTCGCCACAATGAACCGAGTCTCACGAAGACGCGGTAATTGTTTTTACGCCGGATGTTCTTCCTGACTCAACCACAGAGCACCGAGCTACCACAGCTCTCTGTGCGGAGCAGAGAGCTGCCATCTAGGGCGGTAAATGAGGGTGGAGGCAGGGGTGGATGCTTCACCTAACCCACGCACATGTTTATGTTTTTAGTACCGGGAGTTGAACCGGCGATCTTCCGATCACAGGCCCACCTTCTCTAACCTCTTCGCCACCACTCCCTCCAATATTACCCTTTCATATATTATTATAATTACTATTGTTATCAAAAACAGTAGTAGTAGTTGTTAAACTTGTTCTCTGATCAGCTTTGCAGGTTGGAGTATTTTATTTTATTCATTTATTTTTACTGAAAGGAGATCCAAATGTTTGTCAGCCTTTGTTCGTTTCTTTTTGTTTTGAGACTGTCAAATATTTTGTTTTTCAAAAAACTAATTTTATACTGTACCCAACTCTTCAGGGAGGTAACGGTGAAATAATGCTTATGGGAGATATTACAGAGAAACAGTAAAATATAGGGTTGATTAAACAAATAAACATCGAAGCTGCACCGTCACGACAAAGAAAGGCCATGACGGATGCATCCTACACACACAGACTTGGTCTCATGTCCTCATGACACATCCGTTTTAAAGAATTTTTCACATCCTTTGCCTGAAGGCTAAATGTATATTCACCTTAAAAAAAAAAAAGAGTCATAACGAAACGTTCTTTCAGCTGATGCAATAAAAAATACATTGTAATGTAGACTTGCACATTTATTAAGACATAATGATCTCCCTTTATCTGACATCCATCCATCCATCCATCATCTTTTGCAACATTTTGTGATGATTTATCTTCCTGAAGTTTCATAATCCTCTTGTTTCAACTGACGTCTCTCGCGTTGGATCATAGATGTCCACTTTTGAGCAACTCTCCAACTAAATTAAACAATAAAAAGCACATCCCTCAAGAATGGTGAATCCAAAATGGGTTGTAAAAATAAAAGTTCCAGGTGAAATTGGAGCATCATTAATGAGATTTTCCGTCAGTGTGCATTCAGTCTGATCGAGCTGAATATCTCCTAACACGGAGACATACATCTGAACATTCTTGTTTAAATGAACGCTGAAAACCAGGATGGCACGTTCAAACTTGTCTGATGATTGAATTACTGCCTCACAACAGGCATGAAAACACACAAACACACAAAAACAATAACCCCGCTCACACACAGCAGCCAAGTTTGTTGCATAATAAGCTGTAAAAAGCAGAATCCACTGACCGCTCAGGCTATTAAAATGTTTCCGAGCAGTCAACACGACTCCAAACAGCTTCAACGACTCGTATAAACATAAACTAACTGGTCAGAACACAAGATTTTTTTTTTTTTTTCTCAAAATATTTATGGTTAATACAAAAAAAAAAAAAATCTACATAAGTGCTGTTGCATTTTATGGCATGAAAATTAACAGGACTATCAGGAAGTTGAGGCTTTAAAATGTTCCAAATAAAATAAAATAAAAACAACACTTGATGAAATTTAAAGTTTAAAAAAATAACTTGATTGAGAACTACTTCAGACTACCTAATTTAAGCATATAGTTAGTTATAAACAGGTAAAACCTTTGGCAAGAAACACATTTAGGTAGCAGTTTTTTGCAGATGCCATTAAGGTGGTAGTCAATTTTATTTCGTATACTGGTGACATAACGAGGTGGTACACTTGCTTGTGAAAAGTACCGCACTTGCCGCCGTACACGTTGCACTGAAGTATAAGTCGCATCAGTCCAAATGTGTCTAATAAAGTGGGAAAAAACAAATACATCGCATCGATTATGCGTCGCTGCTGACAACACTTGGCTTGCCACATTAGTCGAGCGCCCTCTAGTGACTGAAAATGGTAGTGATCAATATTTTCCATGTCAGAATAAATGAAATCGTCAGATCTCAGCCAAATATTGGATTATAAATATGAGGAAAAAACATAAATACGTGCTTCGCTGTGTAAGTCGCAGAGCACGCTAATTTACGCAAAACACTGACGTATACTGCGAAAAATACAGTAATTAAAATAATAAAACAGGGCATTGGTTATTTAAGAAAACTGTAACTTAGAGATGTGCAAAAGAAGAAAAGACACATTTTAAGGTTTTAAAGCCTGAAAACAAAACAAAGTGTTTAAAACTGGACAATAAACTTAAAATGTCTTTGGTATAAAAATCTCAGTGCAAACACCGGAGGTATTCTGTGCTTACATGGACATAGCACAGCTCTCTTCTATATCTATTAAAAACCACACACACGCATGCACACACGAGTCTGGGAGGCCTCCAAGCACAGACACCCTTATAAGGATAACAAACAATACGCCGAGGGAAGAAACGAGGTGCCGGTACAGCAAGTGCAGGCAGGGGAAGGTTTACAGCTCAGACAACGAGCAGGAATGTCAGTTTGAGAGAGATTATGAGGAAAAATCCTCCAGTTAATCTGAGAATTTCAGTCTGGCGTCGACGTCCGGTTCGATTCAAAGAAAATCAGGAGGGCACAGAACTAAATTTGATCATTTACTGTGTATGTCGTGCAGTAAAATGTCCCTCATGTTTACACACACTGTTGTAAATCACACGCTTCATAACACAGAAGTGTGTATTTACTCTCTACGCCTGGAATGTGAGGGGCGTCATAATCCAGGCTGGTCAGACCTGCTTTAAGTTCATGGCCTGAAGGCCTCGCACCGTGCCACCACACAAACAAACGTGGCCTCACTACAGACCTCGCCAGGACTCCTCAAAGACCGTCCACGTTCTGGAAGAGCTTTACCTCCTAATGGGGCCATCCAGGATCAAGAGGGTCCGAGTTTGTAGCTCCCAGAACTCATTAAGAAGGAAAAGGGTTCTGTGTCTCTTCCTGATTCAACTCAGCTGGACCGGGCAATTTCAGTTTTTCTACTACGCAGACAAAAGAACCAGAAAATCATCCTCACAGTCCGACGCCTCCATTTCATCTCGTGTTGTGAACATGCACAACAGGCAGATTAAAATCCTGCTGCTGCAGATTAACAAAAAATACAGACTGTGCAGCCAAAAGCCTTCAGTTTGTTTTACCCAGCCGTCTGTACAAACATGGAAACAGACTGAAGCTATACGAGCTGTCGAGCAGCTCAAATAAACAACTGGAGTTTGCAGTTTGTCAGTTCTTTGCCTAAGCTTTCCAGTGGTTCCCAACCATGGTCCCTGAGGAACACCATCTTGCATATTTTAGTTGTTTCTCTGCTCCAACACACCTGGTTCAGTGATTTAATCGCTTCCTCATGTTCTGCAGAAGCCTTTTAATCACTCATGAATTAAAATCAGGTGTGTCCGAGCAGAGAAACTAAAACATGCAGGACGGTGTTCCTCAAGGACCACGGTTGGGAACCCTAAACTATGAAATGTTTGCATTTGTGTTTGTCAATGTATAGTTGATCAACAGCTTAAACCTGTAATAAAACCTTCAATGTGAACTCGTTGTGACAAACAATTTTAATCGGATGGCTGTTTTTCTGCTCATAAAGTCCTCAGATCAACCTAAACGTGTCACTGTCTTAACTTGTTTACCTCACCTGCCCGACTCTTCCAGACTCATCAGGATTAGAGACATTATCGCTCAACAGGTCCGGTCAGTTCAGTGAAGAGCAACAAAATCACAAAGCTCAAGTTCACAGATTCTCTGATTTATTTCCGAGTCTTCCTGCTCAAAGGAAGTTGTGATGACTTCAAACTGAGGTGCTTTTCCATGATTTCATTTCAACGTTAAGCAGCTGCCAGGTCAGACGAGACAAATCTCATCACCAGGACGGGGATTATCCGTCATCTCCCCGTCCACATGAGGGAGGAAAAACTTCCACTTCAAACGTTGTGCAATTGCGTCCATCTATGTGGAGGAATGGTAGCAGCTAAAACATCTGACCAAGTTCTTCTGACACTCATCAAAAGCATTTTAGTCTGAGATTCTCTACTCGGGGTATTTAGAGGAACTGGGAGGGTGAGGAAGATGAGGTGAAAACAAACAGAAAAGAGCTGCAACTCAATGAGGTCATGGTGCTTTTAAAGAGCAAAGAGGAGTCCTCCCACTGAAGCTGAACTCCAAAACAAAGACCTACAGTTAGGACATAAACATGAAGAAACCGTTGAATCCAAAGATGGTTCAGTTGATTTTATACTGGTTTCATCATGTGAACAGTTTATTGGTCTTAAATCATTAAAAGTATAAAACTTTATAATGTTTGTGATGACAGGAAATACAACAAGAGTGCTTATAAATATTAAGAAACTAGAATATCTGCTGAAAGTTCTGCTGGTTTTGTGTCAGAATCAAAAGGACAAGGTCAACTAGAAGAGGAATAAGTAGGCTCAATCATCCAGGTAAATAAATCACAGATAAGTTAAATGATGACGATGATGTCATCTGGACAGTTTCTTTTTGGAAGAAACGTTTCGTCTTTAATCCAAAGGACTTCATCAGTCCGAGTCCTGCCAACATGATCTGTCGTATTAAGCAGCAGCTTGTGGACGTGGTTCAAACCAGTTTGACATTTAACTTATTTGTGATTTATTTACCTGGATGATTGAGAGTACTTTTTGTTTTCAACCATTTTGGCCAGATTGTTCTCGGACTGGTTCAGTGAGTAGCAAGTGGACATTTTGCCTATAATATATTGACATATATATATATATATATATAGACAATCATATATTAATAT